TGATGAACTGCTTCTCATAAAGGGCTATGTGCAGCACAAAGGCAAGAGAAAGTCTTAATCTTTATGAAGCTTTTTTTCTTTTTTTGATCCTCTGGAACTGTAGAATCAGATCAGATAATATTCTTTTGCTTTTGAAGTGGTATCATTTATCTTGTTCTCAGTATTTTTTAAGTGTTAGCAAAGATATGAACAGAGTGCAGCTCCCTAACAGTATTCATTGCTTACTCAGTTAAATTATAGCATGCTGTGGGTGGATGTATATATGACATGTGCCTTTTCGTGCATACATAACTTGGAGCATTATTGTCAGAGGGTAACCTCTCAGAAGAAGCTGGTATGCCTTGGCTTTTCAATAGGAGCATCTGCTTATTGTATATATGTGATTATTCTCTTTTATGTTTTTTTTCCTACTTATGCCAGTATTCAAAAATGCAAGGGAAAAAGTAAGGGAAAGTTTATTCAAATAGCTGTGATAGGAATAATCATATCTCCAGATAATGAAGCATCTGATGCAATTCCCTAAATAATGATACATGTTAAGTTGTTGAATATAACTACACCCACTGCACACAGGAATTTCAGAATTTCTGCCACGTGCTTAAATAGGTTCTGCTTATGACTCAAAATGGCCTCTTCCAAGTTAGTTTTTAGGTGGAGTTCCTTGAGTTTAACTCTTTACTCTTAGATATTCTTCTAAACCAGACAGATTAAGGTTTGTGCTATAACTGTATAGGAGGATATTTTAAAAGTAACTATAAAGCTTTTGGCCATATTTTGCTATTTGTCTCCAAAGTGTCAAGATTAACCAGAGGAGGGGGTTAAATTTTTTCATCCAAATCACTATAGAGGTCATCCACAAAACTGGAGTTACTTCACACAATAAACCACAAAGCTGTACACTAAATAACATTTGTAATATGGATGGAGTAGAGGGCATAATTCTCTGAGAATAAAGTTCATTCATATAGACTTGATTTTCTATTAAAATATGGCAATGCTGGCAGTGTTAATTACAATGTGTATAATTAAAGGCTAAAAATTAAGAGCAGGATCACAGATTAAATGGTCTCTCTGCCACCAAATAGTAATGTAGAAGTACCAAATTGACACTGTTATTTTGTTCTCTACTCAATCCCTTATGAGCAATGAGAAAGTACTTTGCACTAAAGTTAAAAACTCAAGTAGATTTCAGAACATACCATTTTGGAAAATGTGTGGAAGTCATCTCATTGTATTTAACACATAGGAAGCCTCTTTCAGGAATAATGGTTGACTTTGAGATTATGAGAGTAGGAGGAGACACAACATCATTGTGATTAAATACATTTCTCATCTGCAGTTTCTCGTAACTTTTACTGTTACTAATGTTTAATTTTAATTGTGCTTTTATTTTTGGAATTTGCAGTTGTTTTTGTCTCTTCCAAAGACTCTGGATCTCATTCAGATACAAATTTACAGGATATTTAGGACTGTGCAATCAGTCTTTAGGGGGTTTGTAAGTACACTTAGTTTTATCTTGCCTCTTGCAGGTCATTGAAAACATGTACTGCAATAAATTCTGGTTTGGGTATTATCTTTCATGACATGAATAAGGCAACAATTATTTTTTGCTCAATAAGTGTTGGGAGGAAAAGGTCAATTTGTCTGACTGTCATGAGGGGTGCAATGTGATGAGTGAATGTCATGATGAAAAAACACCTAAGGAATGAGGGAGGCTATGGTTCTAAAACATGATAGAAACCACATAAACAGTTCAGTTAGAAGAATCCAAAGATCTAAGATAGCTGTTGGGTCGAAAAAAGAAATTGAAAAGGAGATGAAGTAGATGTGAAAATACTTTTAGTGAAACGGCAACATTCTCAAAATTAATATAAAAAGTGGAATATAATTCAGATATCAGTTTTAATATTTCAGTTGGCAAGTGGTTGAGATGCAGCTGGATTACAACTTAAAAGTTCTCCTGAGGGGAGGGGGGAGAGGGAAAGGGACAGGAACCTGTAATGGTGTGTTCTAGGAACCTGTATGAAATCAATTACTTTTACCTCCCCCAACCCACCAAAAAAAAAAAAGGTCATCTCAACATACTGCTTCTTTCATGAATTTTTATCTTCCACCTACAATCCAAGATGACTATAACTGTATGAAATCTCTCATACTGTATCTTGGGTTTAATGCTTCTACAATTTTGTTCCTTTCACTACCCATTTTGACCCAGTTTGAATAAATTTCTTCTTTGCCTGTCTTTTCCTTGACTGTAATAAATATTTTTCCCACTGTGTAAGGTTTTCTCTACAAAACTCTTCTTTTTCTTCAATGTTCTATCAGATTACTTGGAAGTGAAAGGTAGACTTCTTTATAGCCATTTCATAAATACCCTCTATTATATGTATGAGAAGTATGGGAAGAATTTCCAGGAAGAATATGATCAGTCTCAAGAATTATTAACAGTTCTGAGTTCTAAAAGGATAACATTAATCTATAGGATTAGTGATTACATAAATTTAATTAGTGTAGAAAAAGTTTTTGTCGTGTGCATGAGATCCCAACATGTGTTTTTTTATTCTTTAAAAATATTTACTTCAGGAAAGTTTCTTAGTAGTTTATGTTTGAAATAATGATGTTATACATTTTAATTGTTTAAATAATTTGTAAATTCAAAGGAAGAAATTAACAGGCTGGCAGCACAATGGTGGCTATTTTGGCAACCACCCAGAGTGAGGAATAATGAACAAAGGAGTAATGTTTGGCTGAAAAAGATAATAAAGGAATTGGCAGTTGTCTGCCGTGGTAAAGACAATGTAAATTCGTTCATTTGATTTCAGACCCACTGGAAGCATGGGGTGAAAGTTCAAAGGAGACAAATTATTGCTAATCCCCCGTAAATGTTTCACATTTTGACCTGCTACTGGAAGGAGTCATCTCTTACTGCTGATGTGGAGGCCTTTCCAATGTGGGCGTTTTCAGGCAGAGGCAGATGGCCTTGTCTCATGTGAGACAGATGAATGCTATGGCTAAAAGCTAAGGCAAGACAATTTCTGAAATCCCCACCAACTGTATGATTGTGATGATAAGTGTTAATGGGACACATTTGTTATAGATTTGTAAAAATCTGGCCTGAATATTAAGGAAGTAAATTAACAGGTTAAACAGTTAGCTGTATTCTTAAAACAGATTATAGATACGCATCTTGGCTTCTCTGACATTTTTCATAGTGTAATTTAATATACCATTTTTTGCTTTTCTTTTCCTTTGCTTTCTTTTTCTTCCTTCCTCTTTTCATTCCATTCTCTTCCCAATCATCCCCTTCCGACTTCCTTTTTCTCTATCTCATCTCCTTCCCTGTGCTTCTCTTAATCTATCCACTCCCTACTTCCTTTTTTTATTTTTTAATGAAAATGCCCATCACTAGACATCCTGTTCAGTCCAAATTGAACAGAATAAAATTTCTGCTTCCACTACTCTCTTATCACATTCTTCCTATTTTCTAGACTCATTCGCTTCAGAAGACCACTGGCTTGGGAAGTATTGTATGACTGTAAACAAAATGACTTAAGGTCACTTCTGCTAGGAGTTGATAGGTGCTAATTCTATCAGGCCAGCGTTAGTCCTACTTGCAGAACTAGTTGTTTCATGCTCATTAGATACAAATGTTTTGGGTTTCGATGCCTAGGGCTTTACTTGAACTCTAGTATCATTGGTAGAACTATAGAAATTGGAGAAGTAATTAAAAATAAAACCATCTAATGTTGTTGGTCTTTGTCCATGAGTCTAATAAAAGACCTCAAAAGCTATTGCTTCCATAAGAAAAGGCCTCGGCAAGGCATGGTGGCTCACAAAAATACCAGAACTTTGGGAGGCTGAGGCGGGCGGATCACTTGAGGTCTGGAGTTTGAGACCAGCCTCACCCACGTGGTGAAACCCCATCTCTACTAAAAATATAAAAATTAGCTGGACTTGGTGGCAAGCACCTAATAACCAGCTACTTGGAAGGCTAAGGCAGGGGACTCACTTGAACCCCAGAGGTGCAGTGATCCAAGACACTCCAGCCTGGGCAACAAAGTGAGACTCTGTCTCACAAAAAAACCAAAAGTAAACAAAACAAAACCAGAGAAGACCTCTAGTTTATTCCCCAGAGTCTGAATGTGTACCTTCTACATAAGGCAAGTTTACCTCGAGTATTCTGAGTACACCTGGAAACACCTTGAAATAATTAGGATCTTAATAATCATAGATTTTTTTAAATTATACTTTAAGTTCTAAGATACATGTGCAGAATGTGTAGATTGGTTACACAGGTATACATGTGCCAAGGTGGTTTGCTGCACCCATCAACCTGTCATCTACATTAGGTATTTCTCCTAATGCTATCTCTCCCATGCCCCCAATGCCCCAACAGGCCCTGGTATGTGATGTTCCCCTCCCTATGTCCATTTGTTCTCATGGTTCAACTCACACTTACAAGTGAGAGCATGTGGTATTTGGCTTTCTGTTCCTGTGTTAGTTCACTGAGAATGATGGTTTCCAGCTTCATCCATATCCCTGCAAATGACATGAACTCATTCTTTTTATGGCTGCATAGTATTCCATGGTATATATATATACTACATTTTTTTATCCAGTCTATCATTGATGGGCATTTTGGTTGGTTCCAGGTCTTTCCTATTGTGAACAGTGCCACAGTAAACATACGTGTGCATGGGTCTTTATAGTAGAATGATTTATAATCCTTTGGGTATATACCTGGTAGTGGGATTGTTGGGTCAAATGATATTTCTGGTTCTAAATCCTTGAGGAATCACCACATTGTCTTCCACAATGGTTGACCTAATTTACACTCCCACCAACAGTGTAAAAGAGTTCCTATTTCTCCACATCCTCTCCAGCATCAATTGTTTTCTGACTTTTTAATGACCATGATTCTAACTGGCATGAGATGATACCTCATCATTTTGAGGATAGTAAATGTCATGAATAGCAGATTTATCATGTTGCTTTCCTAGGTGAAGACCCTGAAACAAGAAGAATGAGAACAGTTAAAAACATAGCAGATTTGAGGCAGAATTTAGAAGAGACTATGTCCAGCCTTCGTGGGACTCAGATAAGCCACAGGTTTTTTTCAATTCCATATATCTTTAAGCCAATAAAGAAAAAATAATTATGAACAAACATTTAACTTTTCTTTTAATGACAGAGATGGGATTTCAGTTTCCCCTTACTATTTTCTCTCTCTTTTTTACATAAAAGTTGGTAATTATTCTTAAACTGAAAATTCACACCATATACCTATTTAGCTCTTATCTCTAGCTCTATCTACTATCTATGTCTTTTTCAATATAATCTCCGGTTCAATGGAATTAGTTACTGCAACTACCACCATCACTGTTAAGTGGGTTTTTAATGCCTGCCCTAGAAAATAGTGGCACAAATTGCACTTGAAATGAATCTGGGCAAGGTAGTAGGGACACATTCAAACATAATTGCAGTTAACTTCCAGAATAGGTCTCAGAAGGTTACCCTGTGTAAAGGATTTGTTGAAAATGTAAAACAATATGTCATTTTACCCAAGATGTACTGATGGCCTTTCTTTTGAAGACAAACAAACAAACAAACAAACAAAGAGCTGTAAATGAATGTCTTTTCCACATTTTGACCTCTACAGACGTGATTAGAATCTCAAAATGAACATATAATTTAGCTTTCAGGAAGATGACATGTTTCTAAAAGACAATCCTCAACTCCAGACTTTTCTGTCTTCATGCATTCTAAGTTATGATCCTAAGTGAACCAGAGTATAGTTATTTATCCATTTTATTTGGCAGCACCCTGGAGACAACATTTGATAGCACTGTGACAACAGAAGTGAATGGAAGGACCATACCCAACTTGACAAGTCGACCCACTCCCATGACCTGGAGGTTGGGCCAGGCATGTCCACGACTTCAGGCAGGAGATGCTCCCTCCCTGGGAGCTGGCTATCCTCGCAGTGGTACCAGTAGATTCATCCACACAGACCCCTCGAGATTCATGTATACCACGCCTCTCCGTCGAGCTGCTGTCTCTCGGCTGGGAAACATGTCACAGATGGACATGACTGAGAAAGCAAGCAGTGACATGGACATGTCTTCTGAAGTCGATGTGGGTGGATATATGAGTGACGGTGATATCCTTGGGAAAAGTCTCAGGACTGATGACATCAACAGTGGGTAAGTGGCCCTGTTCTCCATCAGCATTGTGTGAAGAGGGGAGGCAGTCTACTAGCATGCATTCACTATAAATAAATGTGTAAGTTCGCTCAGAAAGTCAGAAGAAAATATGAGATATCCGAGGTTATTCAGGGTGTTGAAGGGCCCTTCCTCTGCTCATTCATGGAGAGTAAAGAATCCAGAATTTCTGTAAATTCAAGGCACTAAGGTTTTCTGTTGTTGAGAGAAACACATGTGGTCTCTGTTTTTCAGAGTGATTTTCACATGCTTCTTAAGTAACAGATTTTGTAGTCAAGGACGTGGGAAGGAGACAGGAGGAGTTTTGCTGATCTGCTTGAATTTTTTTTTTTTTTAGCTTGTCAGAAGCTGCCTGTAACTGCTTTAAGGAAAACATATTTTCTTGCTGTGTTCAATTATGCACCCCTAGTTTAACTTGAAGGAAAAATCACTTTGGAGTTGAAAGTTTCAGTCTATTCATTTTCTTTTGGTGGTATCACATTTTAATAAATCTCAGACCTTGTTTTTCTTCTGTGTTCTATTTCATTCTAAAACATGTTGTGATTGTAAAACGCTTAGAGTATATTAACAATTTGGGATATTTGGCTTAATCAGAGAATAGGCCCAAAGGGAGGCAATAGGATATTCTATTAATTGCCATTTTGAGCATTTCATGTTATGTACTATGCTCTTGTTAAGTGCTTTGAAGATATTGTTTTATTTTACCTTCTTACCACCAGCAATGCTTATAAGGTAGATGTTTTTATACATGTTCTTTGGATAAGGAAACTGAGTCTCATTGGCCCCAGCCAGGGCCTAACACTAAGGAAATGCAAGACCTGCATTAGAACTCAGCTATGTCTGACTTCAAAACATAGGCTCAGTAATATGTGGAAAAGCTTCCCAATTAACTTTGTCTATAAACTTTATGTGAATCTGGACTTTGACCTACTCTTTATGTGAATCTGGATTTTATGCATCTAAGAGGGCCCATGTAGGAGATCATTCTTGTAGGTAAGTGACTCTTCCTGATTTCATTCATGAAAAGCTTATGTTTGAATGGTGACGCCACCTAAAAAAGAGCACAAAATTGCTTTTGAGTAGATTCACAGCTTTGCTCTGATGTCTTGATACCTACCAGTCCATTCCTGGTACCCACCCTACCTGAATTTCTAAAAATGTAGAATTATAGTGACCAATTATGATAAATTGGGATAGGTGGTTGTTCAGTTGCCACTGGATTCAGAGTGCCTCGTTTGAATCTCTTCAATTTGCTATGTGTGGACCCCTTGGGGACCTAACATATCCAAATTATTTTTTTGTCATCTAGAATAAGGACAAAATTGTACCATCTTCATGAAGTTGTTAGGAATGAAGACAATTATCCACAAATTTTAGTTTGCATAAAGCTTCGCATGATATGAGCACTCAATAAATTGATCATCCTCCTCTGTACCATCACTATTATTAATATTGCATTTATTATCATTAAAAGCAATATCAATGTTTGGTTGCTGTTAGTTATAATTATCATTTTTGTATGTATTTAACATAGCCTAGGAGGCAATGCCCCGTTCAGAGAACATGGTGGCAAAACAGGAGTGTCTAAGATACACTCTTTTCCCCATCTCTCTCTTCTTTCTTCTCCATTCTTTCCACTCTATCTCCTCCTCTCATTTCTTTATCCGTCTTCTTAAATGTGGACTCATGTGTGAATTCAATTTTATACTCACTATTCAAATATATTTGGATGGCTAATTACATATATAAATATACACATAAAGATATATATACACAGGCCGGGCGTGGTGACTCACACCTGTAATCCCAGCACTTTGGGTAGCCAAGGCAGGCGGATCACCTGAGATCAGGAGTTTGAGACCAGCCTGACCAACATGGTGAAACCCCTCTCTACTAAAAAAGTTAGCCGGCTGTGGTGATGTGTGTCTGTAATCCCAGGTACTGGGGAGGCAGGAGAATCACTTGAAATGCAGGAGGCGAAGGTTGCAGTGAGCTGAGATTGCACCACTACATCACCCCAGCATGGGTGACAGAGTAAGACTGTTTCTCAAAAAACAAAGAAACAAACAACAGCAAAAAAAAAGTGTGTGTGTGTGTGTGTGTGTGTGTGTATTTATACATCTATGCAGTCAATATCATTATTCATGGTAGTTATGTTCTATCAGGTCACCACAAACACTGTGTTAGTGAATACTAAACTATTGCTTCTAGGAGAAATATAGGTTTTGGTTCCTGTAAGCTTTTAGCCACAATATTTTTGTCAACTGATCAATACATAACTTACTATATGTGTGTCTCTCTTTAAAGATAACTTATTTAATATGTACTGTCGATTCATTCACATGGCACTCACAGCCAACAGCACTCTCACTCAGGCCTCGATGAAGCTTATCTAATGCCTATTTTCTCTGTGAGACACATTGAAGACTTCTTGCAGTTAGTAACCTAAGATGGCACTTCAGCACCAAGTTTGAGGGCCATTTTAAACAGCACAATTCTCAGCATAAAAGCACACACACAAAAAATGTGAAAAATGTGACACTAAATAGACCATAGAAGAACCTTTGTTGTGGTATTAGAGCTGATATAAGAAGGCAGAGGATCACTTCATTTAGCCTTAGCTGGAAACCTCTGAGGCTCATTTTTTTTCACTGTTCTGTTCATGTCTGTGAATGGTGGTGAAAGTGTTATGAGTTTAGATTTTGCAGCTACATATAAATTTTAGCAAGTAGGCAAATTCACGAATATAGAATTTGTGAATAATGATGATTGACTATATATACTTACACTCATGTAGAATGTTTATCTTGAGAGTGACAGCATATCTTGGGATAAGTTTGAATAAGAAATCAAGGGACATCTACAAAGCAATATGTTGGGAATTTCAAAAGGAAGGGGATAAAAATTGAGCTAAGCGTTCAGAATGAGGGGAAAGGACTAAACTCTCACATGAAATAGAAAAGAAGAGAATAAGAAAAAAATGTTTTAGTTTTATTCCTGATTTAAAAGCTATAGACAAAGGAAATATATTTAAATATATCTATATATATATATATGCACATATATCTATATCTATATCTATATATATGTATATATATATAAATCAGAAATGTAGATGGTATACATTATTCAGTAAGCTGGCATAAAGTGTGATTTTCAGAATCAGAGGAACACTGGATTAGATGATACTGATGACCATTCTCTTAACTGAGAGTCATGGAATGTGAGTATTCAAAGATAATATTTGAGAGATAGGCACTAATTTGACAGACCTTAACATCATTATGCTGAGAAGTTTAAACTACACTATAAACTATGTAAAATCCTATCTCTTAGAAGTTGCAAAATAGTCACAGAACATAGCATGAGGATGGTGATGGCTTTTGAAAGGCTGCTTTATGGGAAATATGCAACATGAATTCATGGGAAAAACCCTGGGGTTCGATTTCAGGAACTATTGCAAGAATTCAGGCTCAGGCTCATCAAAGCAGAGATCTGGTAGTGGCATTTGTAGCGATAAAGTGAAGAAAATAATGGATGTGGGGAGCACTGCAAAGGAAAAATTTATAGAACCAGAGATGGACTACCCATGAGGGCATAAAGGAGAAAAAGAATGTAGATAACTACATTGTAGGCACAGGAGATGAAAAATTATACCATCAGAAAAAAATCTGCAGAGAGAGTGGGGATTTTTAATGAGAAAGCAGAGAGAGGAGATGATGAATGTAGAGTTAGAGATGTGGAGTTGGAGATGGTGGGATATGAAGATTGCTTGGCCAGGATAGATCTCTGTTGTATCTCATCTCAATGAAAAAGAGTGGGAATTGTGGGAGGCATTAGGACTCCTGGGAAAATAATATGGAAAGAAGAGGGATCATAAGCTGAGTTATATATATGTGTATATGTCTATTAAAAATATTTATTGAGTTCACCCTATGTGTCAAGCAACATTCCAGACACTGTGCATTTATTAGTGAATAATACAGACACAGTACCTGCCCACATGTGATTCACATGATGATATTTTCATAGTTTTGTAGCTGTGCAGTTATTCAATAAATTAATTATAATATTCACACATACATATGCATATACCTCCACAGAAATACTCTTAGATAAGTAGTTGTTTTAAATGTTTTTTAACAACTGAGTTGTGCACATAATAATATATGTTACAGGCATACTGTACTCAAGAGCATTTTGTATTTTTCAAGATGCTAGCATTGTAACCGAGCGAGTTACAGAGAAAGCACCACACTCTGAGATGAATCAGGAATCCTTTATTGCCGGCAACTGAGAGACGGCTAATGCTCAAAATTCTCTTGGCCGCGAGGAAGGGGCTTGATTCCTTTTTATACCTTGCTTAAGATAGGGGAGGGGGAGTCTGGCTGAAGTGGAATTTTTACAGAAGCTGAACAAGCAGGTTAAGGGAAGTGAGTGCAGGCCTGGGTATTTCCATACAATCACCAAAAAGGGGGGTTGTCACAATAGTAGGAGGGCTGGCCGAGCAGGATGCTGTTACATCAGTTACAGGTACTGAGAACAGCATGACCCAAACCTCAAGGGTTCAAGGCTCTGAGTACAGCGTGACCCAGTAATGCACCTGAGGGGGCCATGGCAGGGAGGGAGAAGCTAAGATGGAGCTTATCAGGCTTAGAGCTAAGATGCAATCAGTTAGGCTAGCACAAGTTAGGCTAGCACACTGGCTATATTAGTTAACATTAATTTCTAAAACAGAAATCTCAAAATCTCAGTAACCTAACACAAAGAAGCCAATTTACTCTTCACATAAAACCCTCACTGGTGTTTCTGATCTTCACTTGGGGAATGCACTCCATGTGGTCTCTCAGAGAATAAAGATGGATGGTAATTCTGTTGTTACTCAATCAGATTTCCAGTGTTACCATGGGCATTGATATTCAACAGGCAAATGGCAAAAGAGAAGAAGAACTAGGCTGTGAGACTGTTTTGTATGGATTGGGCCTGGAATTCATGCATTCCTACATTCCTTTGTCTAAAACAGCTACATGACCCCAATATGACTGTAAAAGTGCCCAGGTTATATGGTTCAACTGTGTGCCCAGGAGAAGAGGGAAATTGGCTTGATGACATCTGGCTAGTACCTGCTGTACTCACTAATTTAAAAAAAAATGCTGTTATATCCTTTGTCCTTATTTGTTTCTGCTTCATTTCAAACCTGATTGAGATTTCTTGTTTCCTCTATTTTTGTTGCCTAACATCTTTCAAAGAAGTCTTGAATAGTCTCACAAATGAGTCCCCTTAAATATGCATTGATGGTCCATATGTCTTATGTTGACCAAGTAGAAATACCCCAAATCCTACATGAAAACTTCCCCTAGTGTTGTTTACCTGTTTACTCACGTGCATTTGTTTTTTCTAATGTTAGAGCACAGGATACTGAAATTTGTCATGACTCAGTTCTCTTACCTGTGTGGAAGATGGTAATACCGGTCAGCAGGTGATGGGGCTGGTCTTAACTCAAGGGTGATTGTGTGAGGATACCCAGGATTTGCTGGACTTACTGTTTGATCATCAGCCTATGCAGTGTGCCCTTGTCAGCTTAGGTAGGAGGCAGCCCCATATCCCCAATATCTCAGCTTAGAATTAAAACATGAGAAGACAAGAGGGATGAAGATATCCCAGGAAAAGTTTAATTTGATGGTGTTTTCTTTAATTAAGAAAAGGGGGCTTAGAAGTATTTATGCTGACTGGGTGTGGCAACTCATGCCTCTAATCCCAGAACTTTGGGAGGCTTAAGCAGGTGGATCGCCTGAGGTCAGGAATTCGAGACCAGCATGGCCAACATGGCAAAATCCCGTCTCTAATAAAAATACAAAAATTAATTGGAAGTGGTGGTGCACACCAGTATTCCAGCTACTTGGGAAGCTGAGGCAGGAGAATCGCTTGAACCTGGGAAGCAAAGGTTGCAGTGAGCTGAGATCTTGCTACTGCACTCCAGCGTGGGTAACAGAGTGAGACTTCATCTCAATAAAAAAAGAAATGTTATGTTACAACTCATGAAAAAGTTGAATCGTAAACTTAACTTTCTTTTCAAAATGTTTAAAAATATGTTTTACAGATTAAAGGAACAGAAGGCTCAATAATGTAGTAATGAATTTAGGATTTTCTCAAGTAACCACAAAGAATGTCATGCAGTCATTTAAATGGGAATAAAGTTTCATTTTTCCCATGTACTCTAGGTATAACTCAGAAAGTTAGTTAATCAGCATTCTGAGAATTCAAAATTCCTTGAAGCATGCAAAGGCTTATCTCTTTCTCCTCCTTTTTAAAATTACTTTAAACCCTGGGGATATGAATCTGTCAGTAATTAGGAATTAGTCAGAAAAAGGCCTCTTATTCATAATGAACCTCTACGAAAAGTCTCTATGAAGTAAAAAAAAAAAAAAAAACATTCTGGAAAATTGACTAAAAGTTACATATTTTAATTGGGTGAAAATTGAAGTTTTCTTCAGGTGTCACAGTAATAAATAGTCAGACCAAGAATATAACCTAAATTTATACTTTAAGTCACATGACCAAACACAAACTAATAATTCTGTTGAGTAAAAATTAAAATAAGGCAAAGGAGTGAGGGTAGATATACTGTAATCCTGTTTCTGCTTTGATTCTCCCTCAGTTCTCCTTTAGTAGACTTCGTGATGACTGAAGTATGCCTAACAGTGTGTGAAAGATCAGGGTTACTCGAGCTGTGTTAAAAAGATCCATCTTTAGCACCAGACATTCCTAATCTTAATGCTCCCTCTAATTTCATATTCAAGATATGAGGTATTTTAGTGACTATAGAAATGCCAATGCATAAAATAGCTTGTATTTTTAAAGATAGTGTTTATATAGCACTTACAATGTGCTAGACAATGCTCTATGCATGTTATATGTATATTAACTCATTGATAGCTCACCATCACTGCAAGAAGTGAGCATATCATTACTGTCTCCATTTTACAGATGAAGCACTTTAAACATACCTTGTTTAAGTGACTTACCTGAGCCCACACAGCTTGTAAGTAGCAGCGCTGTAGCTGAACCCAAGCAGTCTGGCTCCAGTCTACACTCAACCACTCAACCATCCTTACACGCTGACCTTAGGAAACTATCTGCATGTCTACATGTAAGGACTTCTCCAAGGTGCCTGATTTTTTTCCCAAACAACCGTTTAAAAAGGTTCACAGCAATCATTCTTTATCAGCATGCTTTTTTTTTTTTTTAAACTAGCACATTTAATCTAAGGGGCATTTTTTAATGCTCTCTGTGCTGCTCTAAAGGAAGATACTGAACTGGAATTCCTTTAAGGGAGTGGTGAGGATCACTTTAGATTCTCTGTGTGTGCATGTAATTACAAAATAGCTAATTGTGACAGACAGCAGCTGATATGAGATGTTAAATATAAAAATGAAGATGACTGTACTAGTGTGTTAAATATATATATATATATATATGGGAAGAAGGCTGTATTAATGTGTTCTCACCCTGCTAATAAAGACATACTTGAGGCTGGGTAATTTATAAAGGAAAGAGCTTTAATTGACTCACAGTTCCACATGGCTAGGGAAGCCTCACAATCACAGTGGAAGAGCAAGGGACGTCTTACATGGCATGTGCCAGGCAAGAGAGCTTGTACAGAGGAGCTCCCGTTTATAAAACCATCGGATCTTGTGAGGCTTATTCACCACCGTGAGAACAGTATGGGGAAAACTGCCCCCATTATTCAGTTGTCTCTACTTGGTTCCACCCTTGACATATGGGGATTATTACAATTCAGGGTGAGATTTGGGTGGGGATACAGCTAATTACAACAGTGTTGTGACAGCAGCTGATATGAGATATTAAATATAAAACGGTAGAACTCTAGGAAGATGACAGATATAGTGGAAGCATAGGTTTTGATCCATTACTCCTATGAACTCTTTAAAACAGTATTTTAAAAATGAAATTTTCTTTCTATTAATTTGCTAAGAGCTATATTATCTGCAAGTCTATTCATAATATTGATAACAAAAGAGAAAAACGGGTTCTATGATAGGCTAGTTACTTGTCGCAGTCAAGAATATTGATTTCCGCCGGGCACAGTGGCTCAAGCCTGTAATCCCAGCACTTTGGGAGGCCGAGGAGGGTGGATCACGAGGTCAAGAGATCGAGACCATCCTGGTCAGCATGGTGAAACCCCGTCTCTACTAAAAATACAAAAAATTAGCTGGGCATGGTGGCGCGTGCCTGTAATCCCAGCTACTCAGGAGGCTGAGGCAGGAGAATTGCCTGAACCCAGGAGGCGGAGGTTGCGGTGAGCCGAGATCGTGCCATTGCACTCCAGCCTGGGTAACAAGAGCGAAACTCCGTCTCAAGAAAAAAAAAAAAAAAAAAAAAGAATATTTATTTCCTAATAAACTTGAAAAAATTTTTTAATTCTTCCTGGTGAGTAGGATGTTTATGCAGAAAAAAAATGATAATAGAATATATTTGAGTTATCATTGAAAATTGTGATCACTGTTTGTTTATTAAGTTAAATTGTACAGTTGAGTTTAATTTTCTGTGGATTAATTAGGCATTTCTTTTCAGGTACATGACAGATGGAGGACTTAACCTATACACTAGAAGTCTGAACCGAATACCAGACACAGCAACTTCCCGAGATATCATCCAGAGAGGAGTTCATGATGTGACAGTGGATGCAGACAGGTAATGCCATCAGTACATATGATGGGGAGGAGGGCATGAAGCAGTTTCATAACTAAGACCATAAGAGAAAACTCCTGTTAAACAGTATAAACCTAAGGACTTTTTATTTTGAGAAATAATTATTTAGGGATATTTTTAAAACTAGGATGATTTTCTTTACAAGAACCTTTTAGCTCTGTAATACTGAAAATAAGTGTGTGGCTGTGAGATTTTTTAAAAAATTTCAGGTTACATAGTTGCAAATTTTAGTATCTGTAAAAGCAAAATTATAAACATATAAACATTTTTCTTATTAGAAAGAAACTCTGGTTAATAAATTTCATTCAATTCAGATATTTTCAGATTTACCTGGGCGCTAATTATATAAAGATTAAAACATATTTCAAATCATCTAGTATAATAAGCTTGATGCTTTTTTTTGAAGGTGTTGTAAACATAGAAGCACTCTTACTTTAGGCTTATTTTTGCTTCTTTGTTGCCTCAGATTTTTTAAAGTTTTGTGTGTGCGTTTATGTGTATGTGTTATGAACTAATTATTTTGCTAGAAAATGCTCTGCTAATTTTGTCAGAATCATCACTGCTTAAGAACATTGCTTTGGTGAGATAATGTTGTAATATATGCCTGGACCTGATTTTGCTTCCTCTTCACTCAGAATTTTGATTTTGTTGAGCGGGAAGGGATTGCATATTTCCAGAATTTTTATATCTAAACACCTAGAGTAGTTATTGAATTCAGCATTTATAAGAAAGACAAAAGGTTAAGAAGCAATATACTCACATTCTGAAATAGGAACTGTGTACAATTCATTGTGTATTTTTGCACAGCCAACCACAAAGGCTTGACACCCAGTAAATTCTAATATTAGTCTTCGGTTTCTCCTTATCTACAGGCTGTTGATATCCTAATTCTTAATGGTTAGAACAGCTCCCACCCTGTATGATCCTACTTTCCTAGCCTGTATACTCATGTGTGTGTATGTGAAGCATCTTCCCCCATAATGTAAGTCCATGAGTGCAGAATTTTTGTCATATTCTTTATGTGTTGAGTTTTAACAAATGTTTGTGGAGTGAATGAACAAATTAATGAATATAGGCTTGAACAAATTAATGATTAATTTTATGAACAATTAACGAACAAATTAATGATTAATTAGGCTATATAGTCACACAGGCTGGCAATCACATCTAATTAACTAGAGAGGCAAATGAGGCCCAGAAAGAACCAAGGTACTACAAGGATATTATGAAAGAGAAAAATGAGTTATGTGAAAAATAGGAAACAGTGATAAGAGGGAAAGAATCCCAAATTGTGGACCACATTTTGAAACTAATGACCTATTATTCTATTATTGTTAGCTGAAAGTGGAAAACGTTATGGGAGGGAAGATCTGCTAGTGTTTGGTAAAGGAGGTTATGATGGCAGAACCAAAAAATGAACACAAGGTGACTTCCATTTGCAGACAGTGCAATAATCAACTCTCCTTGCTCCATCAGGGGCCCCAGTTTGGGCTCTGGCTGAGGAACTCAGAACAACATAAAGACCTAGATATGTATCTAATAAATTCAGACTGTGAAAACAGTGCCTCTTAAAGTATGGTACGTGAACCACCAGCAGCAGCAGCAGCAACAGCAGGAGCAGCAGCAGCAGCCATTGAAACTTGGAGAGAGAGACAGATTCTCTCCGTCTTGGATGGAGAGACAGATTCTCAGCTCCATCCAAGTCTTACTGAATTAGGATATATGAAGGTAAAGCCTGGCAATCTGAGTTTTAACCAGCCCTCCCGTTGATTCTTACATACATTAAAGTTCAAGCATCACTGTATTAAATTGAACAAATAGATGCCGGGCCTACAAACACGTGAACAGCTAGCATAAATATTTAAACATTAAAAATGACATTTCAAAGTTCTTATTTACTTTATTACCTGTGTTCTCTCAAGAGAATGAGAATATTGAAATGTTAGAATACACTGATGGCACTAATTTTTAAATTACATCAAATAGTGACTTCTTATACCTGAAATAAATTGGTTCAGTTTGGTAGATGCAATTTTTGAGGATTATATAAATGGTTTTTTAAAGAATTATATAATTTTAGAAATATGAAAACCCCTTAAGCTTCTTGTGTAAATTAAACTGCAATAAGGTCATAGTATAAATCCTCCTACTAGCAGAGAAGGAAGGCTTTTTTTTTTTTTTTTTAATTACAGATAAGTCTGAATGTCTTTTAAAAATCTTGTATTCAGGAAGTGACTTGGGATATATGTCATTTTAAAATGCATGGCCTTAAATGTTGTAGTTTTGTGACTCTTTCAGTTAATTTAAAATATCTCCTTCTATGGAATATTATTTCACAAAATTTTCTAAAATTTATTACCATTTCAAATAGAATAGCAAGAACAGATATAAGGTATTACCTTTTGGTTCATGTTTACCTAAGAAAAAGAAAATTACTTTTTCTTTCTGAGATCATATAAAAGTATGTTTTCTGTCTGTTTGCCTTAACCTTTTAATCCCTTTAAATTTAACTTCGTAGGAATTAGAAGACAATTGCAGAAAATGTCAATTGGGGAAATTTTATTCTGCTAAAAACTATATCCATACAACATAGTAAATCACATTTTAAAGACCAAAAAGACTTTCATATTATTTCTTTCTGATCATTTTCAAAACATATGTTCTATCTGCTCCTGCAGCATGTTGATTTTGTTATGCAGTCACATAATTACATGTTTACATGTCTATTTCACTCATAGAACATGAAACACTTAAAGGTAGAATAATATCTAATTCATCTTTTTATCACCAGTAACTAGGATACTATAGGAACTCAATAATAATGTTAGATAAATTGTGGAAATAACCACATCATAACATATAGAAATGTGAGTTTAAAAAGAAAACAATTATACATATCAAAAAAAAATGTATACCATTTTTTGAAAAACCTTTCAGATGTCATATAGTTTGGACTTTTCTAGTGTTTCTTGTACCATGAGACAATAGTAGATACTCTAAGTCAAAAATCAGCTTTCTGGGGTTATATACATTTGATAAAAATTGAATATCATATCTGTTCTTAGAGAGTCATGATGGATATTAACATATCAAAGATACAGAGAAGTCCTGAGGTTCAAAGTAAAATCTGCTTAATTTTATTTAATTCAGTGCTCCATGAGTGTTTTTGTCACTGATTCCCTCACCTTTTTCTCCTTTGATAACAATTAACTTATTTCTAAAACATTTTAAGAAATGCTGATTTAGTTAAATGCCTTCACTTGGCGAATATAATAACAGAAACTCAGAAAAATTGATTTACCCAGGATCACGTAGCTAATAGTACAAGGATTCAAGTCTTTTACTTCCTATTCTGTGGTTCCCAGATACTTTTGTCAAAGGTATTTTAAATAATATGTAACAGTGATTGATTCATTATAGTAAATGGTTAAATGATAAGGCTTGCAATAGTGCACTAATAAGAAAGCTTAAAAGCAGTTTTTTCTAAAAGCTGCGTAAGTGCAAAAGCAAAGAGGCTTAGCACAATGGCAACCAGCCAGCTAGCTAGGGTAGCAATGGACTTGAATTGTTTGTATTGTTACAGTAATGGCTGTAGCTTTCCCCTTTGATCAACTTCTGGTTAAAATGTGATGGACAATAGAGTACAACTGAATTCCTCTTACCAGCACGTTAAAAATGGCCCCAAAAGAAGTAGGAGGATTTTCAGCAGCTATCTGTAGTATATTTTAAATATTTTATTGCTTAAAGATACTGCAGTTCATTTACTTTCCATATCAATCCAACATCAACTCCATTTCTTTATTTACTTGACTAAAAAAAGATTACAGAATGGGTATAATCCTTGTGGATTTGTTGGAGACTCTCCAGCGACTTCACAGATACATTTATAGCAGACAGTTAAATATGTGGATTTTATACATTGTGTTAGGCTATGTTCAAATAGTACATTTGGGGGGACTGGAGGATGATGGTGGTTTTGATCTTTACTCCTATTATTGTTCTTACTGTAGCTTCTCTGCTAACAATCACAAATATTTGATTAAAAAATATATGATTACTTCCTAAGTGCCCATCATCATAATAGCACATTAGGTAAAAATAAAACAAAACAATACAGGTGAAAGTTCCTGAGTTTAATGGTAAGAGAGAGTAATATAAGCAAAGGCCACTCATAATGGATCTCTATACAAAGTGCCTTAGAAGCACGAAAAAGAAAGTTACTCCTACCTGAGAGTGTAAACGTAAGACTTCAAAAAGTGGTAGCACTTAAGCAGGGGCTTAAAGAAAGCATATAACTTTTTGACATCCAGCCTGGGAGAAATCAGAAGGAATGTGGGGAGTGAGAGCAAAAGGCATAGCAGAGTTTGGTTTGAGGAACCTGTAATGGGATTCTGAAGTGCACTGGGAATGTGGACAAGGAGACCAGGGACAAAGGACGTGGGGACCATACCGGAATATTTGGACTATAGGTGATAAGGAGCTATTTTACTAAGTTCAATTAGTTTTATTTCATTTCATAGCAAGAGCACATGGTATAAAGATTGTATTTTAAAAGGAACTCTCTCAGAACAATGTAAGAATATCGAAGAGGGATGAGATAAAGACAGGTAGAGTGCTTCGAAAGTGACTAAAATTAACTAGATGAGAACTAACTAAAGAATGGTAGTGGGGAAGGGGGCTGGGGACACCATCTATTTCTAGAAGAACTTGGGTGTGTGTGATACTCCTTGGCGGTCATAACTAAATACCACAGACTGGGTGGCTTAAATAATAGACATTTAGTTTTTCACAGTTCTGGAGGCTATAAGTTCATGATCAAGGTGTCAGCAAATGTGTTTTTTGATGAGAACTTTTCCTGGCTTGCAGAGAGTGGTTTTCATGCTGTGTCCTCACATGGCCTTTACTCTGTGCTCCTGGAGAAATCTATCTATCATCTATCTATGTATCTATGTATCTATGTATCTATCTATCTATCTATCTAT